CTGTGGGAATTGGGAGGTGCTTTGTGCATTGGTGTTGTGGGAGGTTGAAATCTTAGGCGGGTTGAGAAATGGGGTGAAAGTGTAGGGGGGAGTGTAGGATGTGAGGTGTGGGGTTAGCCATTGCTTGCTATTATTAGGGTACTATTGATACTCTTGAGTCCAAGCCATGTCATCTTCTTTGCTCCAAGCGCTTGTTGGAACTGCCGACTCGCTCGGATGCGCTTCAGGTTGACTCTGGGTGTCTCCGCAAAGGTTGTAGTGCGGAGTGGAACTTCGAGAAAAACCCAGCTCATGTCTGATGCCCGCTGGCCCTGCTGGAAGAAGCGGAGGAGAGCACTAAGTCACTAAGTCTTGGTGCTGAGACTTTGAGCGCGCAGGGTCCAGGTAATTGTTCCAGGGTTGTACGGTTGTACAGTTAGCTTGAAACCCCACCCTCGCGACTCTTGCAGCATTCAAGATGTTCATAGGGCCTTAGAGTCTTAGAGTTTTGCACTTTCACGCCTGCTTGACGTACGTAAGGCAGCATGTTCTCGCACGTGGGGACAGGTGCCTCAAAGTGAGTATTAGGTCCGAAAAGCACTTCGAAACTATCTGTCGTGCTGCGGCGCGGGACTTTGTGATGATGGCTTCAACATTGGATCGAATGTTTTGGTCAGGAACTAGGATGAGGAATGGCGAACGGCCCCGAGAATCTAAACCTAGGGCAGGTAGCGTGCTACCTGGAGGTTTCCGAAGTTGCTCTATATCAGGGCAGGCCTTTTCAGCAATGATGTGCCATGAGAAGGGTTCCTAATAGGAGGGACTTCACATGATCCCACTGTGGCATTGGGGAAGAAACCATATGATGCAGGGCCGAACCTTCTTGGAATCTCTCTTAGGGCTCTTAGGGCATCGATGGTCGGAGCTGCAGTGCTTAGGACATTTGGAGCTCCTCCTGCTCTCGGCATGCCAAGCCTGCTAACAAACAGTCCGGCTAGTGTGCCCAGAGGATCTGAGCATTCTCCACGATGAGACGATGAGGGCCCCAGAACCAGGAGTACCAAGGATTTACGATTTAGGGTAGGGTTTAGGGTTTTTTCCCCTCCCACTTAGCAAGGACGAGCAGGGTTTAGGGTTGTTGGTTGCAGTGGGTGCAGGGTAACCTTGATGACAGGGTTGCTTCGCACGAGCAAAGCAGGACCCTCTGGACGCAGAAAAGGCCAAAATCCCTGGAACAGATCGTAGAAATTCGAGTTGTACTGAAACTGAATGTGCTGGCAATAACTTCAACAAGTCTTCTCAGGGACATGTCTGCAATCAAAGAGATTATAGCTACGAGTAGGATGGGCTGGCGACCAGAAAACGACCAGAAAATATTGAAGGAACATTTATAGGGAGAAGGAGCCGTAGTACCGTTCTGGACTGGCACAGTGTGCCGGGAATCAAGAACTATTATTTGAGCAAGGTTGCCAAGCAATCTTGCAACCTTGCCCCACTCGGGGGGGGGGGGGTGGGGGGCAAGATTGCACGCAAGCTTGGTCAAGCTTGGTCTGAAAAGGTAGCTTAGTCGGCGAGCACGTGGGGCAAGATGACCAAGATTGCAAGATTGCTGGCAATCTTGCTTTTGGACCAAGATTGCAGGATGACCCAGAGTGCCAAGACGGTTCCACAGAGCAATTGTTCCAAATTCCCGGCACATTGTACTGGCAGCAATAGCAAGGCCCTTGATGGTAACAGCGGCAATTGACGCAGCCGTCAGAAAGTCTGTAACAATCGAAAAATAAGGTCGGCCGTAGTATTGACAACGACGGTTTCATCGCAATAGTCAATAGTCATGACAAGAGCCTGTCAGACGGCCGATGTTTGTGGAGGCTTCCAATAGCATCTCGTCTCAAATCGACAGGTTTGCAGTACTAAGAAGCATGAAAACGCTGGAGGTTTCAGAGTTGCTTACAGGGCTGATGGGCCGTGATGGGGCCCCCATCTGCATGTCGTGGAGCCTTGAGACTACTGACTACTGCCCCACCGGCAAAGTATTGATGGTGGCGGCTCAAATTCAGCATGCTGCTCGGCCGAGCAAGCTTTTATGCATTGGTCCAGCGGCTGTGCAACAGATCCCCACTACCCGCTTACAATTAAGTCTGTAAAAGCCGGATGCATGAAACCCCAACCCATCGATACATAAGTCCTTGTTTTCGAACATGTCAGATTGACTCGTTCAGGTGCATCGAATGGTGGTGCCATTCTAGAACATACTGTCAATGTCCGATGAGCCCTTCAAAATTTCCGACGGGTAGTCACACTTGCATTGCCGCGGAAGATGCTACCAGCTCAGAAGATGCCTGGCTATTTGAGAAGTTCATGTTGCTCATGTGTTTGTGCTGTTGCTTCCTAGACGCAGACCATCAGGGCAACTATCATTTAAGCACGAACAACGGACAGCAGTAGGTTGTCGCAGGCGCATGTCATACAGGTAGCAGAGATCGCAGCAGTGGTGCCAACAGCTGTGCTGTAATCTTAGCCTTACTAGGACAAACTAGTGTTTCCATTACGGCTCCAATTGGATATACGGTCGTGACGCCTGTTTTGTTCGCTGTTCCTAGTTGCTATTACAAACTTGTTCTGCGTTGCCTAGTTGTGACTACTACCTTGTTATTACATGCTACGTACGATCACTGCTACGATATGGTCTGACCTTTAATCTTCAAGCACCCTTTACTACTGATTATTGGGAGAAGCAAACTAACTATGGGGTTGAAGATTCTTTTGCCTCACGCCTAGCTGGGACGAGCCCGCGTTGCAGGGTACAATCACGAGCACAGTTGAACATGGACAGTGCGTAGTCGAAAGTCTGTACGGTAACAAGTATAATGCAAGAGTCCGCTCCGTAGCGACACTGTTTTTCCATTGTGCTACGATCTTTAAGAGAAGACATGGTTACAGGATGCCGGGATGTAGTGATCCTAGGCAGGTGGGGTCGAGCATTGGGATTATCACTCCATCTGCCTCGTGTTCAAAAAGTGAAGGGTGTTAGCTTTCTGCGGCCTCGCCTATCAAGTTGGACCGTGAAGGACGGATGTGACTGAAGCCCCGCAGGCTGCACCCTCCAATCTATTCGCGCAGTGAGCTCCTGCCTGATCCCACGCGGTTCTTGTTGCGCGCTTCTGCTGCTTTGTTCTGGGAGTCCATGTAGGCTGAGCGGGACTTTTCCTGAACGACAAGCAGAACAAAACAGGCTGGCTAGGGCTCGGGGGTACATGTTGCACATGCAAGGCTTCCCACATGTTCTGCCGAGCATTGATGGTACTCGAGATGAAGGTGCTTGTACCTAGAGCGTCCTGGTCAAACACAGAGCGCACCAGGCAATCGAACCTGGCATTAACAGTAGTTGCATCCTCTACAGGCGTTTACACGATCCTTTCGAGGAAAAGTAGAAATTGTGATTTTCATCTGCACCTGGGAGGCTTGGTCAGGCCAAGCTCTGTCAGCTGTCCTCTTCATCTTGCTGGTCACTGTGGGGCCCACTTCCACTTCAGACCCGAAAGTGCCACCGCGGCAGGAGCCTTTCTGAAGGAAGTCTGGGCTCCAACCGCATCGAAAACGCGATTGTGTGTGTATAGCGCCCGGGGAGAGGATCTTCAAGCCTTATTCCGCTCGATCTTTCGATCGGGCTCAGACGAGAATCCAAGAGTCGAACAGCCCGGGGCCCGCACTCCCCGCCTGTTTAGCAATCCCAAACTTGAAGCCCCGTCTGTGGACCCCGATCCCTGCTAAACCTGAAACTCAGACCCTGAACCCTAAACCCTAAACCGAAGGCTAATTCCGTCGGGCTTCGGCGTCGTAAGTCGCCACAGAGGCATCCGAGAGCTTCTTGGCCCGGGCCCGCCTCGTGGATGCTATGCCCTCTTCACCAAGGGCTTTCTGGGTTCTAGGCTTCAGGAACCAAGATCATTAGAAAAGGCTGTTGGGAGCATGTCATACTCTATCTATCTATAAATAAGTATATATATATATACACATATAAATACAAATAAATAAATATATATATATATATGTATATATGTCTATGAAGGGACAATACAGTGGGACATTTGTTGCAAAATTATCTGGGCTCCTAGCATCATGAATGACGGGTGCCCTTTTGCATCAGGCTTCTTGCATTTGCTCCTGCATACCAACCTCCAAACCGTGAAAACCGTACACCCTTCTTCCAAAACCCTAAAACCCTACGAAACCTGAACCAAGACTCCTAAACATCCCAAAACCCCAACCGCAGGGTAATGCCGACAGGTGGCATCACAGCATCCTGGCAGCTTACGAAAAGAAGCCTTCCCCAATCCCTGGCCCTCATCTAAGCCCTTACCCTAAACTCCTAATAGATCCCTTTCAAGGAATCCCCGGAAGGAACCCTAACCCCTAATCCCTCAGCCTGTCCGCCATCGTCACGGCATCCTGACACTCAGCTGGGTTTGGGTTTCAGGGTTTAATACTTTAGCGGTTTAGGGGCTTAGTTAAGGGTTAGGGGTTTAGGGGTTAGGGTTAAGGGTGTAGAGTTGCCGGATTCTGGCCCACTGGCCGCTTGAAGTCGAATTCCACACCATAGAAACTTGCAACGCACACGATGACTGTCTCTCAACCGAGGAAAAGCACCTTCAACTCCAGACGAGTTTAAAGACCTCGAAACGAAGCCAAACATCCTGACAAGACTTAATTATTGAAACCACCAAGAAGCCTGCACAAAGCTCTGCTTGAAGCCCTTTTTGAACCCAGACTCTGCCAATCAGCTGGGAAGCAGCACTTCCAGACTATTGCATCCGGGAAGCGTCGCCAAACTCAAACCTAAATCCCTCCTGCTTGAAGCCCTAAACCCTGAACCTTAACCCTAAACCCCTTCTTCTTCTTGACGACCCGTGGCATAGCCTCCACAACGCCTTTCGACTCGAGACCGTTGAGCTCGCGCAAGGGGGCCTGCTCACAAAACGGAAAGTCGAGGCAAACATCGGGGTTCACACCCCTCTCTCTCTCTCTCTCTTTCTCTCTCTCTCTCTCTCTCTCTCTCTCTCTCTCTCTCTCTCACAGGCACTCGAAGCGTCAGGCCTGGCTGAGGGCAACATTTGTGCCAAACACAAAAACCTAGGCGACCTGATGCCCGAAAATGAAACCCAGGTAGGCCTGGTACTGCTCCAGGGCATCATAAACCTGCAGCGGCTCAGAGAAGGGCTGCTTCAAACTCAAATTGAAAGCGCATGGGCCTCATTACTCCTGGTTGACCCCACCCCGGCAAGCTCAATGACCATCCAAACATGATCTCAGCCTTCCTTTTATTTTGGGGTCGACACCATCTCTCGCCCGACAAGTGTCAAAGGACACAGAACGCCAATTCCGAAATCTGGTCTCTTCCTTGCACAGGTTCCGTACCTCGTCCTCGGACATTCCCTTCTCGAAACACTGCTGGATGAAGTCCATCTTGTCCTTATGTCCACAGACAGAAGGCTCAGGGCTGTGATGCAGGAGGGGGACCGAAGATGCTTCGGGTGCTGGTTGCGTGAGATGTCGGCTGCACGTTAACTCCAACATAAACCACGATGTGAAGGACTTCTGAAACAAGCTGCAGCTTCTTTCGCTCAAACCCATCCTTCATCAACAGCAGGAGGAGGGGTAGCACAATTCAATCGAGACCCGTTTCTGAAGCCCAAAACTGTTGCGAAGCACAGCGCAAACCGCTATGCGTAAGGCCTGTTGCCATGAAAGATACGAAAGATGCACACAAGCTGTCAGCTATACAGCTTCGGAATCGTCGATCCGCAGCCAAGAATCGGCCTCGATCTCGGCTTGGGAAGGAGGCACGCCTGGCTCTTCAGAACCATGAAGCCACGTAGCCCGGAAGCCGAAACCGGGGTTTGAGTTTCCGCTTGAGGGTCAAAGGGGCTAGCGCTTGCAGCTGGGAGGACACCACGTGAGTGATGCCGGACTCTCACGGAAACGGGAACGAGACAGAATTGCGAAATGTCCGAATACCAGAACAAAGCCCCACAATTTATGTTAATGGTGCCGAAAGCACGGCCGTCGGTCGGCTTGGCTGCAGGATTCTCCTTGGAGAGGAGCATGTTGCAGCCGTGTCTGTTGGCGAACAGGGTCTTGCACCGGGATACAGAGGACGATCCCAAGCAAAGCCATCATGCCTACAAGAGCAAAGTGGACGCCACAGAGCCCTGAAGCCCTCAAGCGCTGCCTGTAAATTCGTAGACTGGCTCCGCGACAACAATACTCTGACGTTAAGACCTCCCGAAGCCCTCAGGCTGGAGACCACCAACAAAATGTCAAAGCCCTCTGATCACTACTAGCAAGAAAAGCAGCATTCCAGGGCACGGTAGAGCGGGAACCGCCCATGTTCGCCTGTACGCCGGGAAATCGGCAGGACTTTAGTAAGGCTTTCTGGGGCTGGTTTGCGCCTTGCGCCTGTTGCTTTCAATGGGCCCCACGCAGCTTCACTGGGTAAATCCCAAGACGTCATATGATTCGAGAGGGTCATGGAGTGTGTAGATCTTTCAGTATCCAGCTCGGCCTCAGCTGGACTTCTACTTCCTGCTCTTTTTGCCCAACCATTCTTACAGCAAATCTTGCAAAACCGCAATTCGCAGGCAGCCCTGACTGAGCTGCATGAGCAGGCGACGACTTGCGGCACCCGTCATGCACATTTTGGCCAAGAGATGTCCAGTCTACATCGTCTACATTGAGTCTACATGGCACGCTTCTGAAGCAGAGGCGGCGAAACCATGCCATCGTCGGGGCTGCCAAAAACGACTAGTCTCAAAAATCACCTGGGCTGCTGTCAATGCTCGTATGCCCCAGAGGGGGGGCTACTGAAAGTCTCGATTTGTCATGGCAAGAGACACAACCAAGGCTCACGCTCTTCCTGGACTTCCCTCGTGAACCCCTAGTTAGCCTGACGGAGCCTGCATATTTAGCATTTGACAGCCGTTTCACTTGTTGTACCAGCCCAGGGTGGGCTTGTACGGACTCAGCTTGTTGTCATAATAGTCGCCGTTCCAGCGGATGGGCTCGTCGGAGATACCATAGACCTTCTCTACTCGTTCGATGAGCTTCTTGTTGTACTCATCCCAAATTGGCTTGAAAGCTACGGCCTCTGGGCGGATGGGGTAGGTGCCATCGGTGGTGCTCACGATGCCTGATGGCTCGATGAACTATTCAATCTTGAACTTCCGGTAGATACCGCCACCCGTGCTGGCTGCAGAATACTTGGGATCCTTGCCATCGCTATCTCGATTGTACTTTCGGTAGTACGCTTTCGCCCAACGGAACTGCTGCTCCTTGGTCTTGCAGTCCACCCGGATGTCGCAACCCTTTGCCAAGACCTCCTCGTCGGTGAGTTCTTTGGGAGCTGCAGCCTCCTCCGCCATAACCGGTGCGGCAGTGGCCAGGCTCAGGACAAGGCCGAGCACGGCACCACCGAAGAGACTCGGCAAAAGCCCAAGGTCGCTGCTCTCCCCGGCCACCGGTGTGAGATCGGCATGCTCGCCACCGCGGAGGCCTTTGTGGGTCGGTGCTGTTGTCGGCACCAGTCCTGGCACAAAGAGGAGGCTTCCGGCAGCAAAGGCCGTGCACACGAGGGCCATCATGGACGTGCAGCGAGCCATGACTATGACCAAGACTCTTTCAAGAAGCCTGGCCTGAAAACAAACAAGCTTGAGCCGCAGCCCTGTCAAGACCATGTAGGTTCGCATCCCTTGAAAGCGTCGGGGATTCCTGTCCTGGGTCGAGCACTCGAGAATGGTTTCCAGAAAAACACTGCGCGGCCCTGCATCGAACACGTCAGCCCTACATCTGAACAGAGAATCCTAGGCACAACTGTCGTCCAGGCCTCACGACGGCGCGCAGCCTTCATCGCTGCCACCGTGTGGGCGTCCTGGGCCATACGGGCTTCACGACTTCAGGGCTCGTGGCTTCGGGTTCGGGGTGTAGCTTCAGCGCTCGGGTCTCTCTATGCCATCTGGAGGCTCACCAAGCCCCGAAGCCAGAACTTCGAGAATCCAAAAACCACATCCTTACCCCAATCGCACCAAGAGCCACGGACCCATCCCAACTCCCAAAGAGCTCAAGAGACCAAAAGTGTTGACCAGACTGTTGCATCCAGCGACTGTCGGCACGGAGTCCTGGGAACCTCGGCCCACAAGGTACCACTAGAATTGCTTGCGGCCTTAGGACGGTTCCACCAAGCGTCCGGACATTGAACTTACTAAACACCAGATTCACCAGATGCCGAAGCCCCCCACGCCCAGAAGAGTCTGAGCCCATCAATCAACCTGCCAAGACTTCGAACTTTGAACTATAACGCTTTGGGGCTCGAAGCTGGGGAAATTTGGGAAGCTAGGTGCCGGAGCGAAATCACTGAATTTCCCCTGCAATCTCGCATCGTGTCGTCACGTACTCAATAGTCCGTGGCTTCAGGCCAACGAACATTATTTAGGGCCATCAGATGGGTCCCTTAGATTCGCGCGCCAAAGGCTCCATGCTTCAAAAAAGTACTATCATAGCAACACTATAGTAACATTACGCATAGCAACAACACTATAGTATCTTTATAGTATATATAGGGCTATAGGGATATTATGATACTCGTCCGGGCCAAGGCTCCCCAAGGGCATGTGCTGCGTGCAGCCTGGGATGTACACACAGTCGAGCATTGCTCTAATATGCCTGATGACTGAACCCTAAACCCTAAACTTATGACTGGACGGGGCTTGATTGTGAATTGTGGTACCGCAGCTTCTTGGCAAGTCTCTGGGAGATGGAGCCACCACGGACTTCAATACCGTCATGACTGTCCGCACGATCACTGCTATTACGGTGGCAAACAGAACTGTTAGTAGTTCCTTAGTCTTGCTATATCAGGACTAATCGTGTTGTTTTTCCAACAACAGCTCTGCTCCGATGTGTGGTGCTCCGTGCACGGCTAAATCGTCTCGCAGGTCTCTCAAGAAAGGATTTGGAGTCCTATCGGCATTCTTCTTCCTTGCTACTTCGTCTTCAATCTAGTTGTTGAAGGTCTTCGTGCACCGTTTGCTCAAGAGTTTTGCCTTTCAGCTTTGCCAGTTTGAAGTTCGAAGCTACCGTGGGAAGGGGTGATGCCCAGGCCAAACCTTCCGAACCTCCTGAAGCCTCAAACTTTATGAAACACTTGGATGTAACTTGCAACGCAGTCTTTGCCTAAGAGCTTCTGACTTCTGCAATACCCAGAACATCCAACGGCCCTGAAGCCTTATCTTTGCTGCCCAGCCACGTACTTGGACATGTCTGTGCCCGGTATGTTCGATGGGGTGGCTTCGCGCGTCTCGATGGCTACTCGGCCAAAATGCTGCGGACTCTACGGGCTGAGGGGCGGGGTGCGGGGCGCTGCCAAGGCAGCAGCTGCGCAGCTCTGGGTTCCGAGTCTTCTCGAGGCTTGCGCCGGTCTCTGCTTTTGGAGCAGTCCTCGTGTCAGCTTTTGGCGAAGCAGTTGGCAGCCTCTGCCGTCATGCAAAGTCGGACGGTCAGCACGGAAGCCGTCCTTTCCGCAACATCCGACCCAGAACTAGGACTTTGGCCAAGCTCGGGCACCCCGGTGTCGGGTCGGCATCTCTCCAGGACCGCGAGTTAGACCCGAATGCGAAATGGAAAGCAGACTCGTCTACACCCAAGAAACTACTAACAGCAGCAGCTACAAAGTCAACAGAATCATGGGAAAGCTCATGGAAAGAGTGAAATCCATGGGGCCGATTTGAGGGTCTAAAACACTCTACTGCTAGACTCCTGAAAAAACTAGAAGCCACGAAAGAGCATGCAGTTTACCCCACCTTCCGCAAACCTCAAGAACCCCGTGCGATGGCATCTAGGAGCCTGAATCAGCCGTTGTGCCATCACCTGGGCCTAGACTATCGAAGGATTGTGGCTACGGCTACGGCCTCCTCATGAGTCATTGTGCGGGCAGTTTCTCCGACGCCTGTGGCCGCACGATCTCACATATTCAGGTGCTCTGAAGACCTCGAAAAGAAATGGGTCCTTATTGCCTTACTACTTTTCATGCCAATCACAGCTGTTGATTGTTTTACTTTGCATGTTGCGCTTCGCCTTGAATCTTTAAACTGCGGCTGCGATCACGGCGAGCACACCCCAAACATCTCCGCATCCTTGATCCGAAACAGTGAAGCCCTGAACCCGAGACCGCACACACCCTAGCCCTAGCCCGCCTAGACCCCCTGACCAAGAAACCTCTAACTGACCCCTGAACCTCCTATGATCTTTGTAGAACTCCTGAAGCGGGCCTTAAAGGAACCCTTCAATGAGTCCTTGCAAGAGCCCTTAAAGAAACCCTTATACGGCTTCTACGGGCCAGGGGCTTCCGTGCACATCTCCGGCGGCTCGCTCGGCGAGCAGCCGGGCTCTGCTGCCGGTGCCGGTGCCGGCTGCGGTGCCGGGGCGAAGTCCGGGTCCTTGGCATGAGCTAGGGCATCCACATCTCTACATATGCATCCAGTACCCCTCCCCATGTGTGTGTGTGTGTATATATATATATATAGATATAGATATAGATATACACACATACGCGTGTGTGCGTGTGTGTGTGTGTGTACGTGTATACTAGTAAGGCAGGGAGCGAAGAAAAAACAGATAGACAGATAAACAGACAGACATGTAGCTTGGAACGCTGGCGTTAGGTTTTTCTTGAACCCCCAGGTGCCCAAAAGCAGCGACAATGCATGTGACTCAGCAGATGGCAAGACAAGACATTGCAACATCCTCATTGCATCTACAGTACTCTGTCTTCCATGCCGCATTCAGCAAAATGAGTCGCGTTGGCGTGAGGATTTCGCCTTGGCCCTTTGAGGACTTTGAGTTTAGGGATCCACGCAACTCCTCCAAAACGTTTTGCAACCGTGCGGCTGCGAGGATCTTGAACCAATCTCTTTGGAAGTTGTTCGGATCCGGTGGAGGTTTGTAACCTCGCAGTCGCAGGGGGTTGAGCCGTTTGCCAAAAGTTCTGCAGGGCTCGTTTTATGGATACTGAATGTTCGGCACCTTGGTTGCAGGACCACAGCTTGAGGCATCCAGCGATTAGGATTCAAGCTTCCGGGCGGCTGCGTGCTTGCTGGGGACATAAGGCTCGTGTGCGATGTTGGCTAGTCCTCTGGTCAGGTCCAGTACTGCTGTGCCACCGCTGCTTCTTTCCACCAACTGTGGCCCTGATGACGTTCTTGCTGTTGTTGTGCTTTCAACTTCTCTACGACGCGATCTCCGGTGTAGTCTTCTCGGTATATTCCTTAGACGACCGCTGATCCCGAAGACCCTTAATCCGCATCCTAAGCCTGAGATTCGACCCTAGAGCCGCGAACCCTAAACCCCATGTCCTTCATTCCTTGTTGACAAACTCTAAACTAATTGTTTGAGCAGGGGCTGCTGCGCACGTGAAACCCTGCATCCTTCCTCCCTGTCTGACCAAGCCTACACTCTACATCCTTACTTGTTGGCTAGCCCTGAACCCTTCCTTGTTGAGAAACCCTCACCCCGCATCCTTGCTAACCCCGGCATTCTTATTTCGTTCTTGACAAACCGTAAACTCAAATCCTGCACGCTTACTGCCCTGTTGACGTGACGAACCCTAGACACTCCATCCTACCCTCCTTCGACAAACCCTAAACCCTACATGCTTACTTCCTCTTGACAAAGCCTGAACCCGACATCCTTACCTCCTTGTTGACGACTCGGCTTCCCGTCTGCATTTTCACCTTCAGTCTCAACCTTAGACCTGTGATCACGAGGCCCCAAACCCACATCTTAAAGCAGAGGATACAGTAGGCAGTAGGCTCGGACCCTAGAGCCTCGAACCTAAAACCCCCACACCCTAAACCCTCCATCCTTAAATTCTTGGGCAAACCCTTTAACCTTAGCTTCTTCCGGGTCGCTTGGTGGCCCATTGGGCGTTACGGCCGAGGGTGCCAGTTCGGCAGACCAAACGCCGTCGATCCTAGGGCGTAGGCTTGTTCGGCTACAGTTGATGGTGGAGGCTTTCAGTTTTCAGGGTTTCGGGTTGCAGGGTTTGGGGTGGTCGATGGTTTAGGCTCGTCAATGTTTTTATTCTCCCCTTACTGGCGACTGTTGCGTATGACATGCAAAATCGGCTCATACATGTTGGAGTAGCTACTACGGGGTTTGAGGTTCCGGCACACCGGGAATGAAGTGCAGCCCAGGCAGCGGGGAACGCCATGAATGCGCAGGTACGTTCTTCCCCTTCCCCTTCAAGGCGTAAAAAGCCGCGGCCTTGCCCTGCCGAGAAGTGCGAAGGTCGTGCGCAATGAGGGAACGCTGGCTGTGGCGCAAAGCAAAGCGCGAGATGCTTCATGACAACTTGCCTGCTATATTGGTTCGATGTTCCATTTTCACAGGGGTTTCCAATGCTTCCCTTTCAAGCTTCTGGTGTCTCTATCGTCTTGAGAGCGGTTGCAGGTTTCGGAGCCGTCGAAGCCTACCCTCAAACCTTGCAGCAAGCTAAGCTCCGGAGCGAAAACCATTTATCTCAGAGCCTCGTGCACTCGACCTGGGGGGTTACTGATTTGTGGCGCACCCAACCCAGACACCTTCCTACCCCAAAGTCCCCGACAAGTCCGAACCGAATCAGCAAACCTCCGGCGGTCTCCCGCTGCTAGCCTTGCCACCCGGAAACAGGCGCCAAGGGCCGTCCTCTCCCTGGAAAAGTGGTTCAAAGGGGGTTTGTTCTTGGGCCTTGGGATGCCTTGGGGCGGATCTGGAGTTCATATAAGCCACGGTTCTGGCTTGCAGCCAATCGCTCGGATTGAGTGTCGCGCGGATGAGCAAATGGCGAGATGAAAGGGCAAGCCTATCTTTCCTACCTCCCGGCTTCAAAGTCTTATTGCCAGGTCACGTGCGGTTCTTCGCAGGCTTCGATAATAATGGCGGTATTGGATGCCGATGTAGAGTTTGGAACTTCAACATGAAAATCGAGAGCTGCGCCGTCCGGAGCATCTCGGGCTCTTGCTTGCTTGCTTGCTGGCTGGCTGGCTGGCTGGCTGGCTGGCCTGCTTGCCTGCTTGCCGGTCTCTCTCTTTCTTTCTTTCGCCAGGGTTGCGGTGGGGGCCCCCGACCGCGCGCGAGTGCGCCCCCGATTGTTGCGGGTGCCAAGAAGTTTCATTCAGCGCACACTCCAAGGCTAGGACTCCCGCAAAAAGGACGAATGCAAAGTATATGATGACAGGATTCTGGAAGTTCGTGTTTCCAAGGAGCATACAAGCCTTTCGACTGCAAACTGTGAAAGGTGCATATAGGCACATGTCATCCTACCAGGAGATAGACGATTCCTTGTTAAGGCTTTGGTTGCGGGGCTCTTCCCCGTTTTCGCGCACGAGGGAAATGCAGAATCTGAAAGGCCCAGTATTTCGAGGTGGACCACTCGCGGTGCTAGGCACTAAGTGTGAAGAGATGCCAATCCGGGCATTACCACCTCGAAGGAATGGGGTAGAACTTGGAGTTTTGGCCGGCATGGCTCAGGCGCTTGTTTAGGTGAAGTACAAGGGCAGCAACGGCGTAACAAACCAAAAGATGCAGGTCACAGCACGATCGCCGTTGGCCATTGGTTACCTTTACGTGAGTGCACTTGTTTGGGGATGCCCCGGTTTTCAGGGGTGAGTACCAAACGGTAAATTCCAACGCCAGGCAACCGAAAGAAGCCAACGTAAAAGCCAGTCGTTGTAAAGGGGATCCCTTGCCCAGCAATCGCAGAAGACACCGCTCCTCTGCAAATTTTGGAGAAGGTACAGGGTGCCCGTTCAAGGCAAGAAAGGATCGAATGGGGTTGGTTCCAGCGGACCGTCTACTACGAGTAATTATTATTGCAGAACCGGAGAGAGTTTTCGAGAAAGAAGCGTACGACAAGCCAAGCTTCAACAAGCCTGAAGTCCACTTGCTGCAATTATCGTCTCTTGCTGAAATACATGCGAGTGGACGCTTTCACGGCCCGCTCAGTACGACTTCACGACTCCACCGCTGTCACCATCACCGTGTTCAGCGTCGTGAGGGTTTGTGGTGCGCTTTCCAACAACCGGTTGCATCTGCTATCGTGGTTTGCCAGCTTCTCGTCACAAGGTATTCCGACCCCTGAGCTCTTACATATACTCCCCCGACCAGGAGGCAGGTCAGGCTCCCCCTGAAGCGAAGTGTCCTGCAAACCTCCGAAAGGTTGAAAGCGGAGATCCTGCGCTCTCCCCGATCGCATGGTCGATGAGGTATCACGTTCTCTGCGGC